CTGGAGCATTGTCAGGTCCCGTGCAACATTCTCTAAGCAGCACTGTATCTTCACCTCAGTCCAGACCTTTCAGACCATCTCAACCTGTGCGTGTCTGGGGCATGACCTCATTCTGTCAGTACCCTTCTGCCCTGCCCTGCAAACATCCTCAGTGGTTCCTTTCCTTGAGTCGAAATTTCATTCTGTAAATGCAGCCCAATCTGGGCCTGCTATTGCATCGAGATGCAGCTAGCCAAGTTAGTCTGAAGTCAAGTACTAGGCAAGATACAGTTGCACCTGACACAGAGACTAGCCAAAGTAGATATAGCACAAACTTTCATGAGCTGAAGTTCACTTCATCAGACGCTGTGAAAGGAACATACAGGAAGCAGAGTATAAGAAGAAGAGACAAAATAGAATGCAAAAGACAAGGAAAGGCGGGGAGGGGGCAAAAGACAGGCGCAAAGAAGTCTTATCCCATTACCTGGATTAGTTTGTGTGACTCCTTTCTTTCTATGGGTTTACTGCTTGTTTTCTTTTCCTCTCCCAGAGCACCTGCCGCTCCCTTGTTTTTGTGTTCTAATTTCTCTCCTTTTTATACTCTGCTTTATGCAGGTCCTTTCACAGCATCTGATGAAGTGAGCTTTCACTCATGGGTGATATATATCTCTACTTTGGTTAGCCTATAAGGTGCAAATCTATCCCGCCTTCTGCTGCTGTAGGCCTGGCAGTGTCCGTGCAGTTCTACTACCTGCATCTGCATTCTGACTTGCAGCTCCCTCTGTTCCCAGTGGTGGAGCCTCATGCTACCCAGTTTGCCTATGCAAGTGCCTCATCCCTCACAGAGAGGCCTGAGGCCTGATGTTCATCCTGCTTACTCCAGTTTTAATCAGCTACTTCTAGTTTAAGAGCAGCTGCAGATCAGACTCCCAGTTTGGAAGTCAAATGCTTACCCCTTTGCAGGCAAGAGGCCAATCAGTTGCACATTGCTGAGGAGAAGAAAGCCAGTTTCTGAGTGAAAGAGCAGCAAGCTCTCCACCACATCTTAGAATAAGTAACTGTCGGGGAGAAGTGCAGAGTTTTAACCTCTGCCTTCACCTTTTGTTCTAGCTGGCAATTAAAAATGCAAAAGAGAACGTCATTCACCCTGACCAAATTTTAATAGCCAGCATGTGGGACTTAAAAGTGTCTGTGCATGCAGATCAACACATGTAAGTCTGGTCTGAACAGCCCTGTTCTACCCTGAGAGGACATGGTGCCCATCACAGCCACAGCACCTGCTATTGTCAGAGGCAAACAGAGCAGTAAAGAGAGATGTATGTTTTGGTCTGGAGGAGAGGAAATGTAATAGGCTGGTTAGGGAATTTCACCCATACATCTTTGTTCTCCTGTAGTTCCTTCCATCCAGGGCATCTCAAAGCACTTTACAGGCTATAATGAATCTTCTGCAAAGAGTGGGAAATGGAACAGAGAATCACTGAGTCCTCCAAGTTTAAGGTCACTGACTCCTCCAAGTTTACGTGGGATCTTTACTTTTTTTTCAATAGATAAAATCATCACCATCCCTTCATGACCTTGGGGACTCTTTCAGCTAAGTCAGGAGTTGTCCTGAGGGAGGGAGTACAGGGTGGGGTGGGGTGGGAGCAGGGCAGGTCCTGCAGTCCCTACTCAGACAAAGCTTCAGTGGGAATGTATACCCAGCTAAGGACTACAAAATTAAACCCCAGACTTTTGTTGCAGCAGGAACAGACAGGGTCAGCATTTACTAGAACTGTGCAAATAATTGATTTTCCTTTGTTGTTGTTGTTGTTGTTTAAGAAAAAACAGGGAAAAAAATTCACCTCAGGTCAGATGAAGCACTTCATTGCAATGTGCCATGCTTCTAATTATATTTAGGTGAATTTCCAAAGCAAACTTCATTACAAAATGAAAAATCAATATGTTTGATTGAGAAAATGTCAAAACAGGACATTTCCATCTTTATAGGGTTGGGGGGGGCAAAAAACTTTAGTGTCAATTTGCAAACTATTTTAGTTGAACCCAAACTGCACGCTTATTAAATAAAATACTTGGCCAAAAATTCTCCCCCAGCTCTGGTGTTTACTCAACACTGGTGCATCTACACGAGACATGTTGATGCACATTACCCTAATTTAATCTGCGCTACGGCACATGTCTACAAATGTGCTCCCTTAATGTGCATTAAAAACAGTGAAATTTGGCTAATCATGCCTAAATTTGATACCTGCAAATGCAGGTTTCAAATTTAGGCATGATTAGTTAAAATGTATTAACACACATGTAGACACTAACTTTAGTGCTGGGTCTGCCCAGCCACTAGGGGCACACGGCAAGGCTGCAGAGACTTGGCACTAACTTCAGTGCCAAGTGCACTCACTTTACTGGTAAGTCCCTGCACTTGTAGACACCTGCCAAAAATCACTTAATGTGCATTATCTTAATGCACTTTAAATTTAGTCGCACTGAAATGCATATGCAGATGTCCCCACTGAGAGCAAACCTCTGCCTCAGAGGTCTGCCTTGTTGCTGGATTTATTCTAGTACAGAGCCCACATGATTCAAGCAGGACACTTAGTACCAATTAGAGCAGAAGGCCACACTAAAAGAACAAGCCAGATAGCATGGAGTGGCATAGAGAGGCCATATCAAGGAGCCTATCCATAAAGCAGCTCACCCAAACCAAACCCAGAAGTCCAGCAATGAAGATGATCTGGAAGCACCGTCAGGATCACTCTCCCTTTCTCTAGCCACTTTGAGGGTGCCCTCAGAGTGACTTCATCTTCACATTTCCAGGTCTGGCACAAGTGAGTGAAAATGGCCCACCCCCAAATTTCCAGGGACATGGTATAGACAGACCTATCCAAAACCTAGAGCACACTACTGGAGGAGAGCAGGAGAGGCTAGGAATGCCACCCATGCTTTGGGCCCCTTTGGCAGGTGGTTGTTTATAGCATGGTTTTTCCAAGGCCAGCCTTGTTTGAATCCCCAAATTTGAGGTTCCAGAGCGTTTCCCTTGACAGCTCTACCCATTTTTCTTCCCTGTTGCCTTAATTTTCATTCTCTGCTTTTTCTGACTCTTGCTGTCTACGCACCTCATCAATCCAGTGCCAGCTTCCATGCACATGCTAACAGCAACATAATTTGTAGCTGCCCAATACAAGGGAACTCCATGTTAGGACACCAGTGACTGAAGCCGGGCTTTGGTGGTTTATGATGAGTAGCCAAATCTCATGCTTCTGGGCATAGAGCAATCAGTGCACAAATCAGCATTGGGCATCCTGTCAGTGAGCAGCTGTGAAAAATGGCCCAGTTGTGGTGGGGTTATTTATTGCTGATGTGACAGTAGTAACCTTTTGCCCCCAAGTGAATTGGGCCCCATTGTGGTAGGCACTGGGACATTCCTCATACTTGTTGCCTGAATAAAGGAGTAACGTAGCAAGTGAAGGAACAGAGACACAGAGAAGTCAAGTGACTTGTTACATAGGAAAGACTTGGCAGAGCCTAGAGCTGAAGCTGCATCTCCTCATCCACAGCCACATGAATAATGTTTCTCTCATTAGTAAGCTGCATTATGTTCTTTTGAGCTTTTGGATCAACAGAACTAATGAGAGACAGTCAGGATGTTGCATTTGAAGAAGCGGCTGATATTCAATTACAAGCTGTATTATAACATTAATACTGCCCGTGGTATCCCAACCAAAGATACCAAGACTCTTTAAGGGGTTGGTTTTATAACCATTGCTAAGATGAGGCCAATGAAACCTTGCAATGAAAGACTTGGCCAAGGCCACACAGTGAATCAGAGACAAGGTAGAGACTAGAATACAGGTCTCTTGGTGCTTGCAACCTGCATGCAACAGAATTATTGCCTTAAGTGACAAATCCCTAAGAGGAAGACATCAGTGATACTCCATGAGTTAATTAGATATGTTACCCACTGGCTATGGGTGGCACAAAAAAAACAGTCAGTGTCTTAATGCTCCTAGGAAGCGAAGACTCCCAGTTCTGCAGGGAACTCGTTACATTCAACAGCAGCCCCATGCCTGGAGCTTCTCCGGGCAGAGGCCCAGTTATGTTCTGTTGGGTAGACCTTAGAAGCAGCCATAACCCACACATAAGGCTTTTCCTCTAGTGGCTCACTCCACATGCACTCTCTGGGGTTCCCCCAAGAGCCAGAAGTAACTGATTATGATTTATATCACCAGGCATCAGTTGCAACAAGCGAGCCACAAGCACGCCTCCCTCAGGCTAAGCTGCACAACACTCAGCATTGTACAAAACTCACTCCTTGTCTGTGTTCACAATAAACTCACTTCCCTGCTTTTGAAAAATATGGCACATTTTTAAGTTAAAATTGGATTAATGAGTGGTGACCTTGTCATGCCTCATTACATAAATGAGGAGCAAGATTGTTACACCAGTTAATGAATTCCCTCCCAACGCATGCATTTGGGATCTCGGTCACACAAATATGGGTTGCCCTTTGATATCTGGATTCGTCTTTTGTCAGCAAAGCAGATGAACTTTTGTGCTTTTTCCCTTTAATAGAAAAAAGAGAGAGGCTGGTGTTAACCCCTGCCTGGCCAGGAATGCTGGGGACCTCCCAGAACTGTTCCTCTTAAAAGGGAGGGAGTTAGGACCCTGCATGCAAGCTCCGATCATTTCTTTCTCCTTCACTGCCTGGCTCCCTGCCTCTCTCTCACACTCTCTGCTCCTTTTCTGCCAAAGAGTAGGTTAAGAAATGCCCAACTTTTCCCCCTCTTTCCAAAAAGATCAGAAAGGCAGGGTTAAAATCAAAAGAGACAGAAGAAGAGTTTGTGAGGGCTGGGGAGGAAAGCATAGAAAGAAGAAATAGAGAAAGCCAGGCAGAGGGGAAAAGAGAGAGAGAGGATTTTAGAATTCTTGCTTGGAATAGCAACCGGTGGGGCTTGTGACACACACACACACACACACACACACACACCCCTCCCTGCCCCTGTCTGCTTGGGAAAGGCATGGCTGGGAGATAGAAGAGGCAACCTCTTCCATAAAGAATTGGGACAGGAAAGAGAGCCACTAAGGCAGCACCCAGAGAATGGAAGAAGAACTCCTAAACTTGCTGGCAAGGAAGGAGCCCCAAAAGCACACGGCTTTGCTTTCCGGTTTCTGAACTTGGAGCCTCTTGCATGGGTTCATTTTTTTTTCTCTTCCCCGTTTTTTTTAATTTCTACCAGAGTTCTCTTCCCTAGAACTACGATACCAGCTGCAGCACATCTGGGCAGGACTGTCCATCCTTTTGGGCCAAGTGGGGATCAGGAGAGACAATCTCATTGCCTCCCCCACAAACTGGGTAGGAAAGAATCTTTCTGATTGAAACCACGCCAGCCCCAGCTGCTTCTCTTTATGTGGATACTGCACTTCCCTGGGATTGTCTGGTTTGTGCATCTAAGATGTCTGGAAAAGTTCTCCTGATGTACCTGACAATTTGTCCTGTTCTGCAGATAAGGTGAGGATGCTGCTTTCTACTATATACCCTTCTTAAACCCCCAGAAGGCACCAGAATTGGAAGCATCTCACCCTAGCTTTGAGAGATACTTCCCTGTGTTGGTTTCTAATGAGCCCTGATGTGTTTAAGAATGTTACTAGGCTGGTCTGCACTCTGTCTCTTCTGCCTTCATTTCACATGCCAGGTGCGGCTGGAGTCTTGAGATAGAGAGAATCCTTCCAGGACCTTTGAGGCTGAGCATCTCTATATCAGACAGATGCTTGGAATAATGAGCAGTTAACCAAGGGATCTCCCTGTCTCCATGTGTGTGGCTTGGGAAGGCAGGACACTGAGTCCTGTTTGGGTTTCTGTCACTGACCTGCTGTTGTGACCCGGGGCAAGTCAGTTTCAGCCTTTGTGCTTCATTGTCCCGATTCTACAGATGAGGACGCAAAAGCTTTTTCTCCATCCCATACAGATTTGGTCAATAGATATTAACCACTTTGACAGTCTCTGACAGAAGGAGCTCAATGTTGTTTTTCCAGGATGAATGGCATCCCTTATTTTCCTAGCTCGAGTCAGATAAGACCAGAGCTGTGATGGAGAGGCAGGTGGTAGTCTCTGACTCACTCAGAGGTGGTTTTCTCTAACAGGGATTGCCAGTAATCTCTGCAAAGATCTCATGGGTTTTCTCATCTGTTCCTTGGCATTTGCTTCCAGCTGTTGTGAAAATTGCCTCTACCTAGATCTGGCATTTGAGATTCCCCCCCAACACACACACACGCCCTCCAAAGCTGTGGACTTCCCCCAGTCTGTCCATTTGCCATTACAAATACATCTGAATCATGCCACATGACTTCCCATGAACTTGCCACTGCTCTGAAGCACGGACAAGCAGGGAGCTTTGCCCTCCTCACAACCCTATCACCTTATCTGGTCCTATAGAACTAGCAAATTGCTGAGAGGTTTTTATACCCCTTGTTTTAGTGAAGAGAACTGGGCTTCAGGTGATCTGGGCTCTATTCTTGATGAAAGACCCTCCATGTGTCCTTGGCTAAAGTCCCTCATTGTGCCTCAGTTTACAAATCTGTGGAATGGGAACAAAATGCATACTTTCATACCATGTCAAAGCATCTTGAGAGCTGTAGACCAAAGACAATGTATGGCCTAAAGCAGATACAGAGTGATCATTGCTGTTAATGTCATAGTCTCCATTTTTTCTTAATTTTCCCTTCTGGTTTGTTCCAGAATCTAACTGACATTCCCAGCTATTGGGCTAGATCCTTCAGCTGGTTTTAATCCCATTGATTTCAGTGGAGCTGCACAAATTCACATTGATGCGCCAGCTCTTATGTTTGCTATGGAGGCTGGATCTATTCTTTCCCTGCAAAGAAAGGAAAACATTACCCTTAGATTTTTTGTCTTATGCTTGTCACTGCTGTTGCATGTAGATGTGTCTCCACTAAAGCTGAATCCTAACAGACCCTGAGAGCTTCTGTGAATATCATCAGTTCCTGCTGACTATGATGGGAATGGAGGGCATCCAGCATGTCACAGGATTGCTCAGTGCCTTATTGGACCCAACCTCAAACTGCACGTGGTGTCAGAAAGACTGTACATTTCTTCTGGGCACAGTGAACCAAGGCCTGCTTCTGACACGGCCAAGGACACCACTATTTGCTGGCATGGCAGGAGGAAAAACATGTCCCATATGTGCTAGGTGGCCAGACGTGAAAAAGTACCCAGGAGAATCCCTCAGAGAGGCAGAACAGAAGGGAGCATTCAGCACTGACACATTCTACAGGTTGGAATGTCCCAGGTATTGTCCCGGTTTCAGCTCAAAACCTCCGGTGGTGTTGTGTAGGGGGATTAGGATGCTATCCCAGAGCCAGCAGTTTGTAAAGCCAGCAGTTTGTAAAGCTTTTCTGTAAACAGCAGTGAAAGCCCAGAGCACAAGGGGCTTCAAGTTTTTACTATTCCTAACCCTGCTGGTGAGCTTAATGGCTGGATCAGGAAAAGAACATGTTGTCAGCAGATCATTACCCCCAGGGCTCAGGGGAAGAGGGATTTTACTGGCTGAAGCTAATTGGCAGAATAAGGCAACTTAACGCCTATCAAATGCCATTACAAATGCAGTCAGGGGCTGGGAGCATGAATCCTGGTACTAATATGCTGATCCTCCTGAACTCTCAGGCTGGGAACATGAACAGTCATTCCTTTGCATTTATCATGTGGCCGTTCTTTCACTCAGAATCTGGGAGCACAAAGCCCAGTTCTGTCGCATTAGCAAATCGGTACTCCCAAATTCTGGGACTGGGAGATGAATCCTAATGCTATTGCACTACTAGGCATGTCTTCCTGAATTCTGACCCAGGGAGCTTGGACTTTAACTGCTATCAACCTACAGGGCTGGGAGCATGAACCTTGGGCACTAGTGACTCCTACTGATATCTATCCAGTGCACTTTTCTGCATTGTATACAAGTTTAATTTCTTGTACCACTGTGATCCACCTGTTTTTTAAGGTTCAGAAGGTGGATTCGGGCACCAATGCCCTATCTCATGGTCCAAGCATCTTCATAGCTCTGCAAAGGGCCAGATGATCTCCACAGTTTGCAGTTCAAAATCACATTCACAAACTGAGTGCTGTAGTTTGGAAGTGAGCCAAGAACTACAGGGCCATTGGGAGGCTTAAATTCCAGGTGCTCACTTTTCTAACGGGAAGCTATACCCTGAAATTGGCCCATCTTCCCTTCCCCACCCATCCTTATATCCAAATGAGATCCTCTCTGTCCCATCATCCAAGCAAACCCCAGGATTCTCCAATATGCCCTGCTCTATTCCTGAAGAGCTGAGTATCTGGAATAGGACTGGCCAGGGGTTGTTGATGGAAAGGTGTGGAGGAGAGAAAGGAACTTTGATAGCTTCCCTGTCCATGTGTACTGGATTTTCACAGCTGTGGCAAGTGGCTGATGTCACATTTCATACCATGGTTCAGTCCAAACTTTGATGGAACTATTTAAAATTGCCCAGGCTTCTTTCTGAAACCTCCTCTTCCAGCAGGAGCTGCTGTTACCACTGGAAGCACCAGGATGCTTTGTGCTGAGCTGAGTCAGCCAGTCCAGCCAATCCACACACCACTGATTCTGAGGACTCTGCCTTACCATTGCTTACTGAGGCAGATACTCATCTGGTGCCCAAAAACGCAGCTTTTCCACTGGGGTAGTAGGTGGTATTGCACCAGCTGGTGGCCCGATGCTCCTGCTGGTACAGCAGCTGACAGAACGTGCCTCTCCTCTTACATAACTCTCTTCCATTTACTGGAAATAGTAAGGCCAGTTCCAACTGAGGTCCACTCCTTGGGAGAAATCCTACTGCCTATACGTCATTGTCCACAAAGGCATAATGCTGCACTCAGGACCCTACTCTGTCTGCTCCTTTGACAGGGGAACAAAGAGCATCATTGTGGGAGCAGTTTCTAGATCCATTTTCCCTTCTGCAGAAGGTTAGTGCTGCACTAGAATGTCACTGTACTCATGGCATAGTATTGGACATGGGACCTGGATTCATGGGATCTCCATGGGGTTAGCTACAGTAGCTTAGTACTGCTCTTGCAATGCCCAGCAACTATTATCCCAGCTGATACAGACAGACATGCAGCTTGTCTAAGTGGGAACACTCAGGATAGTGACTCTAAATTAGTTTTAAAGTGGATCAGTTAAACAGTATTAAACCTTCATCTAAATTCTCCTATTCAGAATAGCACTGCCTTAAATGCAGCATGGCTTATTTAACTTCCAAAGTGAATTAAGCTAAATGAAATGAAGGCCACTTTAATTCTGCATAAGAGCATCCACACAGAGGTAAATGCAAGTTAACTAATCTATGCTAAATTCATACTGTTAGTCAATTCAGATTAATTTACACAGGCATGCCTGTGCAGACAAGCCCTTGGTGGCATTGTTATATGACTAAAAATCTATTTTAGCACATGGTAATTAACGGTGGTCAGAACATTTTCAATTCAATGACATTTTGTCAAAGAATTTCAGTGAAGCCTTTGTCAAAAGAGTTTCGAGCAAGCGGGACTCTTGTACTCTATAGTACAGTGACTATGGCACTAGCTGGGGAGAGCCAGGCTTAGGTCCCTGGTCTGCTTGATTCAGTGATCTGGGATGAAAAGTCTATCTTAAAGCTAGACTCTGAACCTTCATCTTCCTCATGCCCAGGCCAGAACCAGATTGCAGGTATTTTCACTCTGCTTCCTAAATCAAATCTGTCACACCCAAAACAGACCCTTCACCACAATTCTGTTTTTTATGGAAACACTTGAAAACCTTTGGGTTTTTTCCATTGCAAAACAAAAAGAAATTCCAGAGGTCCAACCATTACCACAAAACAGAGTTGTCACCCTCTGTCAGTACCCCATTAAGTCCCTATTAAGTACCCAGTACCCCCTTAAGTCCTCTCCATTGTGGTCACCTCCAGGGAGCAGGGCAGGGGGGCGAGGCCAGCACAGCTGGGCCCTCCCCACCCACTCTGTCCCCTGTGTCCCCACCATCATGGCGGTGTGTTGCCACCTGTCCAAACACTTCTTCGCACTGTGATTGGCTGTTTGTCAGTCAATCAGACCATTAATAAAGTGTTATGGACAGCCAGATGGACAGATTAAGGCTTTTATAATATTAGAATAATGAAAGCTTGCCTGGCATTGTCCATGGTACTTTGAAAAGAAATTCCAGAGTTTTCTGGACTAAGGGGGTTGGACTACACGACCTCCTGAGGTTCCTTCCTAATTTTCTATGACTATATGATTCTGTGAAAACCTGTCTGTCAATGGATAAATCAGTGCAAGTAATATCCATATTGTGCAGGTGGGGAAACCAAGGCATGGGAAGGAGAGGGGTTAAGCAATTCACCTAAACTCACACAGCATGTTAATGGCAGAAATTGAGCCCAGGCTTCCCACCTTACAGTCACCTCCCCCCGCCCCCCCCCAGCAAACCTGCTGTGACTTTCCTG